CACCTGTCCATTTAACTGATAGAAGGACTGTTTTGGTACCGAAAATGAAAGTTTAAGGATAGTTTTGGTACTTTTTAAAGTTGAAGGACAATTGTGGTGCCAAAGTGAAAAGTTGAGAGACCATAATTGTATTTAAACTGGACTCATACAGTCTTTTTGGTGGAGCAAATGACGTGCATGCCACTACTCGTCCAACTCAACATTGAAAAATCCACGTAATGAAGAAAAGAGATAATTTTGTTAGTTAACAATCCATGTAGACAAAAGCTTAACAAAGGAACTAAAAAGGGATTGGATTTCAAACTTTAGGGACAAAAAAGGGTTTTTTAAGTATAGAGACTAAAAAGAGGCTTTTTGCCAAAGTAAAGGAACCAAATTGAGGTTTTAACCTTAATGTTTGTGATCTTTGGACATATGAATTGAACAGACATGGTTTCTATTTGATTTTGAATGACCAAACATAATCATTCAAACATTTCTCTTTCTAAGATGAATATTTCCTTTCAAACAAATCCAAACATACTTGTTCGTTGTTTATATATAAGAAAATTTAAACTTGTTTTGATTGCTTTAAAAGCCTTAAAGAAAATAATTTCATTTATGCCTCATAACTTTCTGATTTTCTTTTATCTTCTTGCTCCTAATTGCATTGTGTTTCTTGCATGAGCATTAACTAATCTGTTTGAGTTATAACTTATAAGGTGGTGGTTCTTGACAACGCAGCCATAAGGCTTTGCTTAACTAGTTGACCAGGAGGTGGCATACTAAGCCTACTTAGATATATCTTCATAGTGGGCACTGGCAAAGATCATGGTCTAATCTCAACCCCCCAAACTTATAGTTTCAAAAATGATAAAGTGGGTTCATTAATTTTTATTTTTTTTATTTTCATTCTTAAATTCTTAATTTATTTCAAATCATTTTAGCCCATTTCTTAATTAATGTTTTATTTGGCTCCCTATAAAGGCATTTTTTGGCTTCACTAGTTAATTTATTTCCTAACAATATAATCGAAAGCAATTAATAACTGAGAGTTAAATTAGGCTCTATTTAGTGTGATTATGACTTTTAATTTTAGTTCTTTTTATAAAATTTATAACTCTAAATAAATTTTTTTTTTTTGTTTAGTTTCATGTTTTTTTGTTCACAACTTATTATAATTACTATTAAGAGAAACAGAAAAACTAGTTTTAATATTATTTAAAAAGTTTATAGTTTTAATTATTAGGTTATGTTTGGTTTAAGGAATTAGGGGGAGAGAATGCAATTTTTTTAGTTTCATTATAAAATACTTAGGCTTAATAAATTAATTATAAATTATAAATTTATATTTTTAGATAATATCCTCTGAAAAAAAAGTTTGTTAGAAGCTCCAACAAACAAAATTTTTAAAAATACCCAACTTCAACACTTAAAATCCCAAGTTGTTAAAGCCCAATAATTATATTAAGACTAAGTAATTAAATAAATCCAAAAATCATAAATTTATCTTCACAAAAGTGTTTTTCAATATGGACTTTATTTTTTTTTTTTTTACAATCTAAGTACTGAAATTACTAAAATACTTTTAATAAAACTATTGTTCATGTTTATTCGTTAATGATGTTTTAATAATATTCATATTCAAATTACACAAAAAATACAATCCATATTGAGAAACACCTTTCTCATTTATCTTTAACTCCTATTGCCGATTTATGAGAATGGTAGTCTAATTTCCTATGCCGTTACATTTCTAAATTATCTATCCATATCTATTGGTAAACGCAAAAAAAATAAAAATAAAAACAAAAACCTTAGTTTGCATATTGTATTCCTCCATGTTGGCTCAAGAGAGAGCAACTTAAAAAGGGGGTGAATTGGGTTCTTGAAAACTTATGCAATTTTTGGATTTAAATTGACAAGCAAGCAAATGCAAATAAAGTAAATTGTAAAAATTAAAATAATAGGGAAAAAAAAATCAAATAGAGTAATTTATACTGATTTGTTCACAATTTATACTTAACCCACTCCTCAAGCCTTTTGCTTTAGAGTTAGGTTTGAATTCAAATGTTCTCCTCCAACTTCTAGATGTAGAGGCAACCATGTACAATATTTAACAACTCATCCACTTGTTACAATCACTCTTAAAACTCAATCCTCACCACTAGAAAGGTTTTCTAGATCTAAGAAGGATTTCTCCCCAAACTCTCTCTCACTCACTCTCTCACTCTTGAAAGAGTAACAAACACTATCCAGAACTTAGATGATTAGATGTCAAGAATAAAGCACAAAAAGGGCTTAATTCAAAAAATCATCTATTAATTTTTAGTTTAATTTCAATTTCATCTATTATCTTTGAATTGTTTCAATTCTGTCTATTATCTTTCACATTTATTTCAATTTCATTTATGTAGTTAAAGTTAACAAAAATCCTAAGGAAAATCTTCTTAAACCTTAGTACTCTAACTATGTTTCTTTTAATTTTTTGGTCCTTAAATTTATATTCACAGTAAAAATAGTTTTTATTCTTATTTTGCTAAATGTGTTTTTCAGGAAATTGTTTTATAGAGCAGACTGCTTTCAGTCCACCCTGTAAAATTATTTAAATACCCTTAATTCTATTTTTATATTATTTTTGTATAAACATTTAAATAATTTTATAAGACAGATTGTACACAGTTTGTCCTATAAAACAGACTTACTCTTAAAATTTCTTATTCTGAACTTACTGAATTTCTCTGTCTGAATTACAATCTATCTCTATAAACTATTTTTTGATTCATCATATTTTATTAGGATTTAAGTGTCACTTTTTTAAAACTCAAAGGACTGCTCTTTCTTCAAATCTAACGGCAATCTGACGTCCTCTTTGTACGGTAGACTAATTTGAAATATTTTTCAAAGTTTCTAGATCATTTAGAAATGAAACAAACTTTTTAGACTAAACTGAAATTAAACTGAAAGTTAGTAGATGATTTTTTGAATTAAGCCGCACAAAAAGCAAGTTTGAAACCTTATAAGCTTTTCTCAAAAATACACTAGGGGTCCACTCAGTTGTTGTTGCCTTTTATAGAATATCCTTTTAAGCCCTAACGTACAAATTCAAGCAAACTAACCGTTGTAGCTTTGACTAGAGAAAGTCTTTGATTTCCTTTTCCTTTAGGATTTCATTGAAGGATTCGAAACCGTTTTTGTATGTTGTAGAACATGCATGAGAAGGTCAAAGAGCAAAAATGTTCTCGAACTTTAGACCAAATCCAAATGCTTGATTTAAGCAACTTTATGTAAGGTAGTTTGTTCATAACTATAAACACTTAAGTCTTGTAAAACTTAAAATAATCATTGTGTAATACCCCAAAATTTCTAGAGCATTAAAGTGAGTTAGGGACCTAATTGTGAAGAAATACTATTAATGAACTTAATAGCAAATATTTTCAAAGTTCAGGGACTAAAAAGAAAGGAAATTTGGATAAGGATCAAGGCTGATATTTTTGTCCTCAGCCACGAGTTTTGCTCTTCTTCATCTTTATTTTCTTCTCCTCTGCCGACGGAAGCTCCCCTAAGCCACCAACTCATCCCCTTTGAGAAAAATTGGTAACAAGCTTGATTTTTCCCTTCCTTTTCTTGTTAAAGAACTGATTTTAGGACCTAGAACCCTCCCTTTGAAGTGGGAATTTCAGATCTGCCCTGTTTCTTCCCTTGGTCTGTCCGCTGTTCTGCTGGGTGTGAATCCTTCGGGATTTTTGGTAAGAACCAGCTTCAAGTTCATCTCTTTAGCTTTAATTTGGCTTGGGTCACTCTAATCCCTTTTGTTTCTTGCAATTTTGTGGTAGTTTCATGATTTCTTCTCCAGTCTCCGTCGGCCTCCATACCGCCAGCTCCAGTTCTGGCTGCTGGAAAAATACTGGTATGTTGATGGCATCTTTAAGTCCAAAAATGGTTAATTAGTTGCTGCCCGTGTTATCCGAAAACCCTCTGTTGTGCTGTCCGGATTTCTGCAGAAATATGGAAGAATTTGGCAGCATTTTAAACATGTTTTTTTAGCTTAATTCATGTAGAAATAAACCTGTTTTTGGCTTGAAATTAACTGCTGTTCTGTGTGGAAAATCCTGCTGTTTTGCCAAAATTTTACTATTCACGCGCAGTTACTGTTCACGCAGGAAATTTTGCAATTTGCTGCTGCGTTTTCTGCATTTTCTGCTGCATTTTTCTGCAAACTTGCTGCTGCATTTTTCTGCACTTGCTGCTGCATTTTTCTGCAAGTTGCTGCTGTTTTCACTGTTCACGCAGAAACATTCTGCATTTTCCTGCACTGTTTCTGACCAGAAAACTCTGTATTTTCTCCAGAAATATTCTGCATTTTGCAGCATTTCTCCTTGCTATTTTTCTGCATTGTTTTCCCCCAAATTTCTTGCCATTTACCGCAAAATTCTGCTCCTTGCCAAATTCTAGAAGTTGCAGTTACTGTTCACTGAGTGCACTGTTCATCCGTTGAATTTTAATTAATTGGAGTAGAAAATCTCATGGAATACATTAGTTATGGCATTGGATTAATTTTAGTCCAGTAGTGATGTATTATTGATTGGGGTTTTGTTTGGTTGTGAGAACGTGATGGGAAAATGAAAAGGAAATTGGTTATTAATTCTTGAATATTTTGATTAGGTTATTGACCGTTCTGTCAGTTAGCACTGAGATCAAGTCTTCGGTTTATACGAGTGAGGTAAGTAAATTTATGGTAATGCCCGTACAGTTTTAAAAGCATGTTTTGATTTGTTTTTGAAGTGGTGGCGGGACTAAACTCGTTTTACACAAGTATGACTGATTTGAAGTGGAATTTTTATACTTTTCATTAAATTGAGCATGCCTACTTGAAATTTAAGTGATTGTCCTAATGATTTGAAAGTGATTGGTAAAGTATGATTTTTCTGTTAACTTCTGCCTGTTTTGTCTCCGATACGGTCATGTTATCCTATTGCCCGCTAGTGGGAGGTTTAAACGCTAGCACATGTCGACATGTTCCTGATAGAACTGGTTCATTCCTGTAATCCTGCTAGTGGGAGTTAAACACTAGTAATTCCTGTTGCCTGCCAGTGGGAGTTTTAAACACTGGCCATGACCCATAGAGGAGACGTCTATTTCGTTCCCGTACTTGTATCCGTTTTCTGATTACACTTGTTGGCATGCTATAAGTTTAATTGACTACTACTGAACTTTATTCTGCATAATGGTTATCATTGAGCATTTCGTTTATGTTTAAACTGTTTATCTGAAATGCTCAAATTTTATCCACGGGCTATCCATACATTTACTTATTGAGATATTGTATCTCATAGTTTTTCCTTGTCCACCATTTCAGGTAGTATGACTCGAGACACGGAAATCAAGGGGAGTGACGAGCAAATTGGCTAGCTATTGCAATTGGGTATAGATTTCGAGTTTAGATTGTCCTTGTAGGTTAGATTCATTATTTTGAGTTTAAGTCATGTTGGACATAGATTT